AGGGTGCACGGCATGAGCTGGATTCATGAGACTCAGTTACCGGAGTTGTACTCTCTCCTTGTCGTTCGTGGCACCTGGCCTCGATCCGGAGCATGCACCGGGGATATTTACAACTTGAAAATGCAGTTCACCACTGGTCACCCACTATGTCTATAACTTTCAGCACCTCAGACTCCGAGGCAGGAAAAGATGGGGTTCGCCGCCTGTGTGGAGTCTTTGGAACCCGGTCCACATTGAAGAAACTCAGATTACGAGCTGGATGACAAGAACACATCGGACAAAACCCAACAGAATTCCTGTGCTGCTCGCCTCCTTCTCCCAAGCATCCACGGGTGCGTCACTCAGGATGCCCACCTTTACCACTTTCACGTCTGCATTTTGTGAGTTCTGGGGGTGCAAGGTCTTAGTCTGAGTGTCGACCTGCACAGTCGTGCAAGGCAGGCGTGGCTTCACAACGTCCGAGCTTCCGGGTTTAAGGTTGGTGGGCTTCAAAGTTGTGGGATCCATGCCAGTCCCCAAATGCTCAAAAGCTGAAAAAACCTCCCAAGCCCCCCAAGCTTTGGAGCCCCACGCTTCAAGCTACGTCTGCGGCCAGAGGGCTAAATACCAAATATGCGCTCCGCCACCTCGGCCGAGTTTCGGGCCCCTGGCCCCGAGCTGAAAGTCTCAGGTCTTGCACGGGCCTTTCAGGAGAAACCTGAACCCTAAATCCCTCACCCTTAAAGGTCCCAGGGTCTTGTCTTCAAAAGCATCCGGGCTTAGGGTTCCCAACTCGCAGTTCGCTTTGTCATCCTTTCTTCCACAGTGGGGAAAGGGGTTTAGGGGCTTCTTTTCAACCCGCCCAGCTGACAATGACGCACCGCAGGGGATCTGAAGCGACAACTCAGGGGGAAGACCCAAGGCGAACCGCAGTCTTCTTAAACACACGCACGGAAACAGGTACCAACCGGTCAAAGGAGAAGAATGCAGCCCCGTCGAGTCTCCCGTGCCTAGCTTTGCCAGACGACAGGATCTCCCACTATCCCGAACACAAGCACAACTAACTCCTGGGAGTTACTAGTAGGTCTAGCTAAGCCTATTTGTACAAAGCGTGCCACCAGCGAGGAGAAGTTTCAGAGTTTCACGTTAAAAGGACACAGGATAATGAAGACGCATAGGCCTTCCTAAAATCAATAGAAAAACATGTCAATGTGAACCCTCGTCCAGGTCTCGCACGCCAACTAGGCTTGATAACATCTACCAAACATAGTCGGGCTCACTACTCCTTCACGGGGGATTGGCAAGCACGTAATATGCGAAGCGAGGCTATGCATGAACTAGCATCGTCAGTCAGGGTGGAATGGCGGTGCACCGGCTCGGGGACAGTGCATCATACAATCTGCTCCGTCTTTTTCTTACTCAGCAGCTGTTCGCAACGGCAGCAAGAGTTACTGGCAGCCGAATGTGCCACTTTTTCCTGAAGTCATATACCACGTCGGCCGTAATTCGATTCTGAGTAAGGGCCCTCTCGTGTAGCCAGTGGGGTCCGTTTGAATCTTCATCAAGGCTCAGGGAAAACGCAGGTGCAAGTTGTGCCTGTGGGATGGTCTGTCAGGATGGTGAGTCACTCAATTGGTATTAGGCTCTGCAAAGGCGCCTGGCGTATTTGCTATCACCGTTGGTGTGTCATGGTCTGGCAATCAAAGTTGAGCGTGTCATCCCATTTAATCGAGTGAAGAAGATTGAACATGCGGGCACCCTTGAATAAGAGATGCAAGGGCGTTGTGGCGCTGCTAGTCAAGCCTTCAACGAGGAGGGACAAAGCGGCAGCCTTCTCAGCGGGCATGGGGGTGAAAAGAATGCGGGCGCCGGAGGGCGGAAATGCCAGGACGCAAAATCGCAGCAATGCCATAAATGCCTACGCATTCTGCATGAGCTCCCGAAGGCAAAACGAGAACGCCAGCTCACCCACTGTTGCCTCGCTTAGAAGCATCAGGCTGGTCATGGATAATGTAAAGGAACTGAGCCATCGGGGCTTGGCGGAGAGATGGATCATAGACAGTGGCTCAGTATCCACGCCGAAGCTCGTGTAAGACACGACGAGGCATGAAGCGCCGTGGCTCAAGGCCTGGCCATTGGATTAGTGGCAGGCCTGAATGTCTAAACGCAATGAAAGTGGAAGAGGCAGGTACAACAGTGGACTGGTACAATTGAGAATTTTCCTCAGTGATGTGTGGGGCAGCAACCTTGACGAAGGCATTTCCGAGGATCGCAATCTCACCTGAAAGAGAGACAGCTTCAATAACCGCATGCGCATCCATTGGAGAATTGGAGAATGCCTCATCTTCCAGGCCAGACTGTCAGCCCAAGGAGCAATGACATTAGGCACAGGCCTATTGGGCGTAGGCCTGGAGCTGACACGCCCCAGAGCTGACCCGGCGTAGTAGGCCAAAGAATAAGATGCCTCGGTGGCACTGGATTCTGGTCCTGGCTCGATAAACTTCGGCGACAGGCTGGGGGTGGGCGGAGGGAATAGCACAGGTCTCAAGTGGCTTGCTGCTGGACCTTGGCAGCTGCCTGAGCCTTCTTTGAAAGCCCTGGATCTCCTCTTGAAAGAGGGAGGACGACCAGAACGACCATAGTGAGAAGAGGATGCACCATCAGCAGAAGGGCGAAGAAAGCAGCCATCCTGGGATGTTTGGGAGATGTGCCCATGGCTTTGATCAACATTCCGAGCATGTCTCAGACAGGATACCTTGCAGTGGCCAGTGGCAGACAAAGGGTTTAGGGCTATTAAGGTGGCAAGAAGAGAGCAGGCTCCCTAAGACCTCTAAGAAGGCCCCACAACTAGCAAAATTCAGGCCCACAGTCCCAAAACCAAAACGCACAAAGACTTCCTAAGGTCGGAACCCTAGACCCTAAACCCCTGAACCCCTAAACCCAAAACCCCAAACCCCAAAACCCCTAAACCCTAAACCCTAAACCCTAAGGCCCTAAACCGGAGACTCCAAGCCCCAACAAAGGCAGAACTGGCTGCCATGGCACCCAGGGGACCCTTGTTCACGCCATAGGCAACGGTGACGCCTCAAGCTTAGCTCCACGAAACCACCTATCTCAGTCTGTCAGACGGATCCTGAACCCAAAACTTGGGGTTTAGGGTTTAGGGTTTAGGGTTTAGGGGTTTAGGGTTTAGGGTTGAGTGTTTGGCTTTTCCCAGGGTGTGGCAGGGACCCTGGTTTTAGCAGGTCTGGCGGGTCTTTGTTCCTTAAATGGCCGGCTCTTCGAGGCACAAAAAGGTCCCAAAAACCCAGGGTTTAGGGGAGTTAGGGTTCAGGGGTTTAGGGTTTAGGGTTAGGGCCCCTAAGGCCTAGGCCCCAAAATCCCGATTTTACATAGGCTTGATCTGTGCTCGCCCGGCCAAATTTCCCCAAAAACCCCCCGAAGGCCCAGACCCTGAAGCCTGAACCATCAAACCCTAAAGCCCTAATGTAGGGGCCTTATAATAAGTAAGAATAATAGTAATAATAGTAATAATAATAATAACAATAACAATAATAATAATCATAATAATAATAACAATAATAACAATAATAATAAATCATCAGGAGCCCCCAAAACCCTAGTCTAATTATTAAGGCCCCCAAGTAACAAACCCTGAACCATTCAAAAAAAAACACCCAAGAGGACCAAGGCTCCCTGAAGCCAAAGCGACAGCGGTCGGTCGCCTGATCTGTTTCGGGTCTCGGGTTTAATCTCTTTTTTTTTTTGGAGGGGGGGGGTTCTTCGGGTTTAGGGTTAAGAGGGGTGGAGGGGTTCTTAGGGTTTAGGGTTATAAGGGGGGGGTTGTTGGGGTTTAGGGTTTAGGGGGGGTTCTTAGGGTCTTAGGGTTTAGGGTTAAGGGGGGGGGGGGTTCTTAGGGTTTAGGGTTTAGGGGGGGGGGGTTCTTAGGGTTTCGGCGCTGACACTCCAGGCGAGGCATGTGGGTCGAGGTCTGCAAAGAATTGAAACCACATTCGACCACAAGACCCTTTTCTCTAGGGTTTAAGATCTGGTGGTTTATGGGTTTATGGGTTTCGGGTCTCACATCTTGGCACAGCCAGAGTTAAGGTTTCGGACGATTGGTGGCTTTGGGAGGAAAGCAATGAGACCGAATTTGGATACTGAAGATACGGTAGTAAGGGACAGGCATGCTGCGAAGCCTTATCTGAGTCGATCTGTCTGCCCATGGATTTCAGGCAACAGCCCTGCAAAACGTCGCAAAACGTGGGGTCTAGCTTACAGTTTCAGTTGCACGCAAGCGACGGCTCCAAATCCCACGCCCCGTGCTGGCCTGGCATCTCGAACATTTTCCGGAACTTGACAGAGCAAGGGCGACCATTGGCCTGACTGCACCCACGGCAGGCCAGCAGAAAGCTTCGTGCTGTCCGGGATGGGCACTTCTGTTCCGAACCCCCAACGCCTGTAATGCGAAAGCGCTGGACTAGCCAGACTACTTTCAGCATGAGTTTTGAAGTTTTGATGCCTATCCCACCCGGTTTTGCTTCGTCAACCAAACATGGCAGCAATGAGGGAGGCTGGTGCCCTGAAAGCAAAGCGCACAGACCATCGCCACGCCCACGGGGTTCAAAGCAAACCCAATTGAGTACGCACGAGCAGCCATTACCAGCTAAGGAGTCACAATATCTACTCCGAACACCAACCGATAAAAGGGATGGTTGCATTCAACACACATCTGACCATATGGCAGCAACTCCGAAGTTCAGCTTCTACATATCCGGCCGCCCCCTAAACCTAATACACCCTAAGCTCCCTAAAAAGCCTAAACCCTCTTGCGATTGGCCGAAATGCACAAGCAGCGCGGACTGCCAGCCGCTGCAGCTCTTCTTCCTCACCTGCTGGGCTTACTAAAGTTAGTGCTGCGGAATATGGGCTTACAGACTCATTTAATATGGTAACGTATACGGTTGACAGGTCTTAGCCTTCAAACTAAGCCCCTTGATTCTGCCCAATCACCTGCAGGCCTCCTACCTGGAAACTCAGTGCAAAGATCTGTTACCCCGGCCTTCGGCGTATCGACCGTACGTAAGGTGATAGCCTCCTGTCGCAGGAGGAGGTGGACGGTAAGAGAACAACAGGTGGCGGGGTCGAATCCATGACTATTCCAAGCCCTTGCGCCAACAACATGTAGAACCTTACCCGTGTCGTGGTCCCTAAACGCTTAACTCTAAACCAAACCCTACTGACAGGACAGCTTCATCATTTTCATGGATGCTGCTGCATGCTAGCTTGGCCGGCCAACAACTGCCAAGCTCAAGTTTAGGGTTAAGGGTTTGGTTCTTAGGGAAGTTTCATATTTCAGCCGTTCCCCTTCGTGAAACGGTAAGTTGAAAGGACCTAAACGCTTGACAATAAGATACAATAAGCAGCACTGAAATAACCGGGGTAGGGTTGTGTCAATATGGAAGGGCGTCCACATGCGACTGTAGTTGTTCACAACAGTGCTTGTCTGCTGCTGGGGGGAACAACCTGCAAGCCTGAGGTGTGGACCATGCCCTGCAAATATTCGGACTGTTGTTATCAAGGAACAACCTTCCAACCACGCTATCCTTTTCGTCCAATTTTTTCGCGGGGTGCGGGAGCTTAAAACTTTTGCATTGGGAATGGCCGGAGAACCGCAGCTCAGGATAGAGAATTGTAACAAGACAGTCGAAAGGGGCGCTTTCAGCGACTGATTCATTATACTCATTCGCTGTTGTTCGTACACTTTTCGCGCATGTGCTTTGCCCATTCTTGCATCAGAACTTGTGCAATCGCCTGGAGGTCTGAGCATACCCTCAACCCTCAACCTTACCTTAAATCCCTAAGCCTTAAGCAGACTTCGGGCTCGGATCCTCGTTCCGATGGCTTGGCCCCAGCCAGGAGGCGCACCTGGGTACATCCGGGCTCTAAAATGTCGCAAACTTGTAGTTGCTTGTGCAACTACAAGGATGTCTTGGAGTTTAGAAGGCTGTTTTGCGCGTAAGGCGTGCTTGCGAAAGACTGTTGGGTTTAGAAGGCTCTGGGTGCAGGGGTCCAGGAAACAAGCCCCTCCCCGAAGTCAAAAGCCAAATGCAGGCAAGCACGTCGGCGGATGCCACTTCTTGGCGCCCTTGGCTTCAAGAGGCAGAGACGCTCGTCGAACAAGATGTGGCTTTAAGACTCAAAACGACAAGTCAAAGCCGTCATCGGAGTCATCGTCATGGACAGTGTCGTCATCATGATGAGCAGGTAATCTTGACAACGATGAAATATTGTGAACCGGCTTTTCACCTTAGGGACAGCAGACTCCGGGGAGCTTGTTGAGGATTAGCCGAGCCTTCAAGTTTCAACCTTGCAAAGAGGGCAAACCAGGGAGACGCCAGTCATCCGCCAACCTTTTTGACTCCCATGTGGGTGCTTGTCAAAATTAGGGTCCCTTTTTGGTTACCCTAAATATTAGGTGCCGTATTATATGACGGACCCAAAAAGGGACCATCATTTTGACAACCACCCATGTATCTAGGAATCTACTCAGTGACCGACGGACAGATGATGGGGATGTGCAAGTGTTCTAGGCCCAGCTGACAAATGGCAGGAAGCCTTGCAGCAGTGAAGACCAAATTGCTCTTGAGCTAGTTTTCCGGGCCATCACTACCTTCTCCAAACTTTTTTCTCAACCGAAGCTTACTCGGTGTGCTCCCCTTGAAACTGCAACCTAGTTGCCGACATTCCCCCATCCTGTCATCGCTTGCGCAGCTGCGTTGACGCCAATCACGGGGCATTCTGGGAGGAATGGGTCGCCTGTGGAGAAAGCGCTTAGGGATGATACACGGCCTCTGTACAGCTGCTCCGTGCTTCGGGAGTCCCTCCTTGCTTTCTAGAGATTCTTGAGGGCTGTGACATGACCGCCTGAGCCCTCAAGCTACGAAGTAAACGATTAAGCCCTCTCTTAAGGGACAATAGGAGGGACCCCCAGAAGGGACCCCTAATCCAAATACCCTATATAACCCTTATATACCCCTTATATAGTCTCATAAGGCCCCTATATAACCCTAAGGGTCCCTTTAAGGGTCTCTCCTTTAGTCCCTTGACTCTCGCAAGTAGAACAAAAATCAGTGCTATATGTCCCGGTCAAAAATCTAAACCCTAAGCCTAAACCCTTTCAGCACTAAAACCCTAAACCCCAAAACCCTAAAACCCTAAAATTAAGGCCAGGGCACAAAGAATGACAGGACTCTTCTGCTGAGCCAGAGCCTTCAAGATCGCTGCGTCTAAGTCCTCTTTGCGGCAGAGGTGCTCCTGAAATCTGAAAGGTACGAAGGGTAAGGGAATAAGGTGCTGGGTTTAGGGTGTAAGATAGTGCGAGGAAATGAGGCTGCGGATTGAGGGTGTGCTGTAGGGATGTGCTTTCCCCTGTTGTCAGCTGTTTCAGCTGGCGGCGTGTGGGGTTCAGGTAAAATCTTGACATCGTAGTGCCTGAACACAGCAATCGGCCACAGCAAGCCCGGAGACTCCAATACCCCTTGACTAAGGAATATACCTTAAATCATATTAGGGTTCCTACTATAATTTAAGGTATATTCCCTAATTGAGGGGTATTGGAGTCTCTGGGAGCACGACTAAGACTCCGTACATCTTCGCCTCTGGAGTTCTGCAACCTGACACCTTGCAGCAACCTGACACCTTGCAGTACCGAAGCTGCCATGACTTGGTATCTGCGAGCCAGACCGCCGACGGAGTCTATAGTAGATTTTCTGGTATATTGCAGTGAACGACAGCTTATTATATTATACTATTTTATAGCATAGTATATTATACTATATTATAGTATATTATACTATATTATAGTATATTATACTATATTATAGTATATAGTATAGTATACTGTAGTATAAGACAGTTCATTATAATGGCGATGTCAGTGGGACGGACGGGCCAAGCCTTCAGTCTGCAAGCTCTGCATTACCAAGTGGCCGTCTGATCAAAGACACCATTGAGCTCCTTAAGGGTTAGGTTTTTCAGGGTTCAGGGTTTAGGGCTGGCTTAAGGGTTTCGGGGTTTAAGGGTTTAGGGCTTTGGGTATAAGTGTTTAGGGGTTTAGAGGTTTAGGGTTGAGGGTTTTGGGGTTCAGGGGTTTAGGGCTTAGGGTTTAAGGGTTTAAACGGGGTTTCGGCGCTCACATTCGGACGTGGCAGGCGAGGTACTTGGTGCGTAGTCGGATTATGGCTACTTCGAGTGCCCTCTTCGAATCAGAAGCGTCTCAAGAAGCCAGGAGACGCAGATCCCCGCTGCAGGCTCGGATAAAAGCAACTGAATAACAATTAATTAGCCCGGTGTTAAGAAACTGCTTTTGTTGACGGATTGTGTTCCCGTGAGAAGAAACTTTTGCGCTTGGCTCCAAGAAGATATTTCCAATCTCTACGAAACGAGAAAATCCAGGATTCGGCTGGCATCTAAGCTCTGCATCTGTGGCCCAGGGCGAGTTCAATCGCGCAGGTTCTATCCCACTGTCACTTCAACATCCTTCAACCCGACTTCATTTTCACGACTCCTTCACCGTGTCAGATACACACTCAAGCCTAAATGCAAGTATTATTTCAAAGGCTGCTCCTACATCGTACTATAGGCACTACCGAAAGTTCCTAGAATCGCGTAGAAACAGTGAGCCCTCAAGCAATCCCCGAGAATTTCCAAACCCTGAACCTTACGGGAGCTTCTCAAAGAACGAAAAGACCAGGCGCAGCCTGCCACTTCGACGCCTCCTGTGGTCTAGCGTTGGGAATAATATAGGACCGTTATACTTAGAACACGATTTCGGGGTATCTTTACTCATTGCCATCGAAGCAATGGGGCTGAGGGTTTGGGAAGTTTTGGGTGTTGGGTTGGGGAAGACAGACTTTCTTGGTTGCCCAAGTTTTGGGCTTTAAGAAATGAGGGCTTGATTCGGGCTTTAGGACCGAAGGGCAGTCTTGTTGCTGCAAGCTGGAAGCCTAGGTCACTTGTGTGCCCTAGCATAGGACTGAGGACGGCGTGATTGAGTTTGACGTAGCATTGCTGTGACACACATGCGCATGCTTGTGCCGAAGTTTTCCTAGCCTGCAAAGCCTTGAAGCACTCCTAAACCCTTTTGCATCCAGCCTGCTGGCCCTAAACCGTGCCAGAAAGCAACATATCCAATCGGAGATTTCTTGGTCGCCCTACCATGAACTCTTCGCAGGTCTTAGTCACAGTCTCAATGCGAGGTACCACAAAGGGCTACCCCTTTCATCCGCTCACCTTTCCACAACGCAGCACGCGGTGCAACTCCGAAACCCTGGGCCTTCCAACCCCACCCCTCGACCCTTCCTCTTCCCTCACCCTAAACCCTAAACCCTAAACCCCCCTCAAGGGGACACACCCCAACTCTCATAGAAGCGCCTCTTCTTGTATCCAGGAGACGGGAAGGGAAGCCGCCGAGGCCTGGCGCAAGAAAGGCGTTATCCCAGACTCCGGAGGTCGCTTTTTGGTTTTTTTTTTTTAGGGTTTAGGGTTCGGCCTTATCGGGTTTAGGGTTTAGGGTTGTTGTATGGGCTGTGTGATATGGAAGTTTGAAGGTATGGTTCCATTTACACTGTAGCAGGGGGACATTACAAGACCCCAAGAGGCTTTTGAGTTTTACCTGTTAGAAAAGCACACAACATGCGCATTGCTGGTCGTTTCTCTTTAAGGCATGGGCCGCACGGTCACGGGCAGCAACACACTTTGGCTGCTACATCGGTGCGAGGCCCTGCTGGCGGTTGAAAGATAGACTTAACTAACCATAAACGCGCACAGGTATGCATGCATAATTACCTACCATACATGCACACATGAAGCCATGCATACATACATAAGAACACACATATACATACGTACGTACATACATACGCACATACCACACCGAACGACACCATACCATACCAATACTTGCACGCAACGATACAAACCTTCACATACACACATACATACTAACATCCATCCATCCATCCGTCCATGCATCCCTACATTCGTGATTGTACCGATGAGCAGAACGATAATAATGAACACCGCTGTGCAAGGTCTTTGCCGTCTTCTTGTTCCCTCCAACACCAAATGTCAAGCCGTAGTGCACAACTGGCAATCCTCAGCAGGTGTTGTCAAGATCCCCGACAATTCCTCACTGCTAAAAACACAAAAAACAAGGAGTCGGGCGAGTTTCTTGCCCATCCCAACACACTGCCATGATGCAAACTGAGTCTGTCAACTCAACGGACCCAAGCTACCAGCTCATACCCACACCTTTTGGGTGACAAGGTCTTCAGCCAGTTTCCACCAACCGCTACCTCGGCGCGTGCCGCTGGCAGTCCAGGGTACGGCCGACAGAAGCACTATGCACTACGGCCTCGACCGCCAACATATCACTCCAGAAAGCCCCAGTGCAATGCACCCTTGGACATCGCGGTACAGCTGAAGCCCTTCCAAGCGGCTCCGGGAGCCATACTGGACGTCTTTGCCCATGTGGTGCTGCCATCCTCGGGAATTGGACGGCACCGGTAAATGGTATACTCGTGCTGGAAAGTGTCGTTCTTGCGGAGCTAGTAGTCGTAGTAGTAGTAGTAGTAGTAGTAGTAGTAGTAGCAGTAGTTGTTGTAGGAGGAGGAGGACGAGGAGGAGGAGGAGGTGGCGGAGGAGGAGGAGCAGGAGTAGCAGCAGCAGCA